AAACGGCTTATATACGTGTATTTGATCAGCTGCGCATTTGCGTTGTAAAGCCCAGTTTTTACAAACACCAGAATTACATTTTTAAAACTCAATTCACGGTACAGGAAACACGTGGTTTGTACTGTAATACAAGCGCATGTACGGTGGACTATTTTTTTTTTTGCATTGTCTTTGTTTTTCCCTGAAAAAAATGTATAATAATATATGGCTACCTTTTTTTTTTTTTTTTGGTTTCGTTAAGTCTGTCTGTGCGTATGGTGGCTAAAAAGGGATCAGGTCGGTATTATAATCCTGTTTTTTTTCCATTCTTTTTTTTTTTTTTGTCTGTGACACCGATCTTAATGACGGGCAAGCGATAAGCGTTGCTTCCCCGTAACGAGGACGTGGTGGAGGAAAAAGGGTGCTAACCTAAATCGTTTAAAAACGATCAAATGCTGAGAGAAGATCCCCAGAAATATTGGAGTTAAAAAAAAAACAACCCTATGTTCTATACATTTAGCATATCGTGTGCTTGTGCACGGTTTTCCACGTTTGTGCAACTACACGTTAAACATAACAATATGAAAACTCCATTATGTTATTTTGCCAGTTTTTTTTTTCTCCAAAGCTCCAAGTTCTTTTCAAAACGTTTGATGTACTGTAGTTCAATGAGCATGATAGTTGATTTCTCGGAACAAAACCTATTGAAAGTTTCTACACTTATGTTTAGAAATAACATCAAAATAATATTTCTGTTAACCTTTCTTACAAACTTTTTTACTACTTCGTTTCAGCCATATAAGTTTATCATTTACAAATACATACAAGTCGACATCTCATGAAATTGTTTTTATTTATGTTTTAATTTTATTATTGAGCTGAACTGCTCAATTTTGATCAGTCTGATTATATTTTCTTCAGTCGAAGCTCGTTTGGATTCAAAAATGATAAATCTTAAAAAAAAAATTGGACGTTCTACAATAATTATATAGGTACCTAATGTAACTGAACATAATTTAAAACAAGTAAACTATAAAATATAAAAAAATTGGCGCTATAAATATTCTACTCGCTGTGTGTACAATTAATACAAAATCATCATTGTGAACTCTAAAAAGATGTTTTCAACTTTGTACCGATGTTGAATATTATTTTATTTACTACATTTCAAGTAACAATAGAATATATCTTAAACATAACATTTTGAGGGGGGGGGGGGAAATAGGTATAAGCATAAAATATGCTACTGCAAAATAGCCATTGAACAAAAGCAACAACACCACAGTTGATTGTTGCCAAAATAGAAGTTCTTAGAATAGAAGTTCTCTAGAAACGAAAAAACAAGAAACTTGTTTTGGCACTGGCGGCAAAGGATTGTGGTCGGTATTCTTATTTATGCCAGTTAACTTATTTCGTATCATATTTAACTGTAATTCTGGAAAGTCTTGAGTCATAAAATTAAACCGATGGGTAACTTAATGTTGTATATTAATTTATACTATTATAGTCTATTTGTGTATGTGAATCGGCTTCGCAAAATAATAGTATTTAACTCAGGTATTTTTCTTGTGAAATTTAACTAAAATTATCATTTTTATTTATTTTTTGTTAAATTTTTTTTGGGACTTGGAAAATGCGACTTGTGAGTCGTTTTATTCCAAGACAAGCATCAGCTCTAAACCTAACGTCTCGGATTGTTATTACCCGCCTTTGTTTCACCCGACGGCTCAAATCCTTTTTCGCCGCATTTATACAGCTTTTTCACCCCTTGGTAATGCCCCGTCGCTTAAAGCTGCTTCTTTGGACTCGAAACTTGTCGCCGGTAAACAAGATAAATTATACTTTACCAGGCCATTGGAAATAAGGGGGGGTGAGCAAGAAGACTTTTTTTTTGCCCCAGTCGGTTCTAGGTTTTTTTTCTTCTTTTATTCGCTTCCTTACACCAAAGACTGGTGGAATTAATATTATTTAAAGATATATTACACTGCGTACACATACTTATGGAGATGACCTTTTTTTTTCCAGTAAAATTACAAAACGAAAATCAATAGTTATTTTGCAGTAAAAATAAAGTTGTACGTCACATGCCAATCATGTCTGTTCATTATTATTATTAGTGCATGTCCGTGAAAAGGTGGGAAGGGATAGTGTTGTCTATAAGTGCTATACAATGTTGAACCGAACTGACAATGGTTATTTTCCATTTTGCAAAAGGGGTAGGAGAGCGACCCCGTCACGTATTGGACGTTTTAATGGAAGTTTCATGTGTGCTCGTGTGTGGGTATAATAATATGTACTTGTGTATAATGTTTCAATGGCAATATTGTCGCCATAACTATATATATATATATATATATATATATATGTGTGTGTGTGTGTGTGTGTGTGTGTAGGATAAGGACCGTGAGCCGCATTGATCAAACTATACGTCGCGCAAATCCAGATTGCTATTCCTTACAACACAACCGTTTTCCTTAGCCTACATATTATTATTGCCATGACGGCAAGGAATTATATTATATAATACGTTTGATACGATATACATGTAGTCGGTAAAACGTCTACATTGAGCCTGCCTTCAACCGGAAACCTACTACATATAATATGCATTTATAAACTTAGCGTTAAGCGTTAAGCGTTTGTCGAATAATACAAAACTCGAAGCCTATTGTTTTCAATCTGCTGGGCGACTATCGACAAAGCTAAATGTGTTTTACAACGTTAAAAATAACACAAATATATAGTATTGGACTATCGAATTACACAAACCCTAATACAATATATACTTGTGCTATTTCCCTATCGTCTTAAGGGGCAACATATCTTTAGTATAATTTATAATTAATAATTTTCTTGTACACAATTATGGTATTGGAAAATTCTAGCGTCGGTGATTCATGCGGTATTCGGCCTCAAGCTCAATTTCGTTGGTATACTCTAAATGAAATTCTGAAGTAGTTCTTTTCGCTCTGGACGATGGGGGAGACCGCTCCGATTAAAAATACCAAAGTTTCTGAACGAATTTGCCCCCAAGGACCCGTTAAAAGGAAATAAAGATACAAGAGGAAACCTCGTTTAATCGTCCCTAAACGGTTTTGTGATTTTCAACCGGACCCTCGTGTGGCCGTGTTTAACTGCATCCTCTTTTTTTTTTCGAACCACGACATACAGCATTTTTAATGTTATCTGCTTTTACCGTTTGAAACGACGACGGCGAAGAGATAAACAATTTTTTAGAGAATCGTTTACTTGAAAAAAAAAAACATTTAAAAGAGATAAAAGTATTCGAGACGTTCACGTAGAAAACAGATACAGCGTTTTTTTTTCACCGTCGACGGCAGAAAAAAATGTATATGTATTTCTCTAAAAAAAGAAACTGTTTGCTCAATAGAGAGTAGAATCCGTTGGCTTTTTAATAAATTACGTTAAAAGCATAGGTATTTTTTTCAGTCACAATATTCATAGGCGACCCTCGATAATGCATAACGTGTGTGCTTATAAAATCGATCTAACTCTTGGCGGTCGCCCATAAAATATAATAATATTTTACAGGCTTGAAAATAGTTGTGTCGTGAGCACGAGGAAATTGTGTAATTTTTCTTTCATGTAAAAACGATTCACAGTGGCAATACTGCAGTGGCGTCAAACTTTAAAAAAAATCTTCACATAAAACTATTTTATGTGAAGTAGCTTTTTCAATATTATATAATCTGCTATATCGGCAAACTTAGTTATACCGTTTAAGAATCGTAAAATAACATTTTAATATGTACATAAAAATTCGTTTTAAACCTAAAATACACAATAAACAACTATAATCTAAACACCGAAGTGTAGAATTTACTGTAAACGCAAAAATTAAAAGCTGCAATAATAATTATAATTATACAGCAAATACTCAAAAATTAAGTGTCTATGTGTAATGGTAATTTGACAAAGATAATAATTCCTTATAATCATAGCAATCAAAATCGTTGTCGATGAAGTTAGTGACAAATATTAGGTACATTGTAGTTTCAGTAAACAATGAAATCATGATTGATAAATGGTACACATCGCTCTGGAAAATACTAAAAAAGGGATAGTTATATAATGTTATATTGCGAAACAACAAAAATATAAATGTTTTCCATAAGAAAAACTATAAAATTCACAATTATGTTCTGTTATATTGTATAATAACAATGGTAATAATAATATAATAAATACAAATTGCAATTATTTTTAAATACATTTTAGTGTATTTATGTTAAATGGATATATACCGAAATAGCTATCGGTTGAACTAGTGATGACTCGATAATAAATTCACAAACATTATTTTGTATCATTATAAATACGATAGTTTTATAGAAAATTAAATATAAGCCTATAATAGGATTTCCTTTTTCTTTTTTTCCAATTTCAAATCATATTACTTATAAAACTCATAGTCTGAGATGATATTATATGTATGTATATTATTCCTTTTTGCTTCGAATGTAAGACAGAAGATTATGATAAAATCAATAGCCATAGCCTGTAGACACGTCTAATTTTGTATTATAATTGCATCAAAAAGAAAATAAATAAGATGCTCGACAATGGACAATGATAATGGTAATTGGTTTGCGTAGAATGGTTTGTTAGTACTTGCAAAAGTTTCAAAACGGGATATTTTTAAGTATACCGTGTGATCGTTTGAACAGAGAGCACAACTATTGGCAAGACCGTTGCGGTGGTCTTTGGTACCGTCGATTGACAAATGGTCCTCGTCTTATTTGACACAGTAAGAAGTACAACAGCTACAGAAATTTCGAGCATTCCTATAAGCTTGACAATAGCAGCGCCGAAGAAGACCTTGATTAATTTTCCAATGTGGTTTCATTTATTATATGGTGTAGAAGAGAATAAGGATGTTGACAATTTATTTAATATGACTGTTGAGTTCAAGGCTGACAACTATAGTTTTAGCATGCGTGTGTTTCTTAAAACATATTTTAAAGGCATCTCAACAACTGAGTCTTAATCAAGTTCGGTTTGTTTATTAATTTAAATTATTATTATATAATGAAATATTAATCGCTTGAACACACACCCTTCGACAGACTTCAAAAGCATTCAGTATTTAACATGTTGAACATAATATATTTTGCAACAACGTTCAACGTAAGCTGTGCTGTATAGGAAACATATTGAACTACTTGTATGGAGGATAAAACATTCTTATCGACATTTACAAACAAAATAAAAAACAGGTTTAATTATAAAATACAACTATAAATGGTTTTTGTGGACTAACAACGAGCAAAGAGAAATGTACTGTTGGCACATTTTCAAGACAACTTATCCCTCTAATTTCTACTAATTTCCGTAGAAGCACCTTCAAAGTTATCATCCATTATTTTCCGAGCAACAGAGTCGGTCTTAACGGATCTCATCATGGCGGACAAGACGTCGGCTTTTTTCCTGGCATCCATAAGCATCTTATCGTTTTCAATGAACTGAAGTCGTGAACTGTGTAACATCGATGCCGCGTACGACACGTCTTCCTGAGCTGTTTGCAATCTCGAACTTGCCACCATTACTTCCATGGTAGCCGCCTGCATCGTCTGATCCGCATAGTTGGCTTCGATTTCCATCAACTTAACGTCGTCTTGGGCTTGTTTTGACTTGTCTAGAACCAAAAGTGTGCACAGAGGGTTTTATTTAGTAGTTTATTATGTATATAATGTACATACATCGGGTAGGAGTTACAATGACAGAGTACGTTGTACCAACATTATTATATGAAATTAACTAAAAACATATTTATAATTATCAAATTGGATGGACGTTTAAGATAATTATATCCTTAACCTCTGAATTATTTTGCTCCTTAAATGCATTTAATTTAATTAAATAATTACGCCACATATACTTTAAATACAGTAAAACAAATATAATTGGGTAAACTAAGCCGTTTAGGTGAACTTATTTGGAATTGAGTAATTACTTTAAACAGTATACTTTATTTAAAACTTTATTTAAAGTATTAGTATTAGCGCTCAAAATTTGTTTAAACATTGCAATTAAACCGCAAAAAAATGTGTTTCTAACATTATTTGTATTTACTTATCTACACAAACTCAAGTTTTAATACAAAAACGGATATGAAGAAACGGTCTACACAAATATATATTTTTTTATTATTATTAAAAAAATAAGAATAGCGTCGTTTACTTATTATTAAAGTATCTAAACATTAAAGAGAGGTTTTTTTTTATCTGGCCATAAGCGGCGTGAGCGTATGAAACGTTTGTATGATTTTGATTTTAAGGAAAATAAATACAATTTGTTGTCTGCAAATTCAATTTGCCTGTTCATCATCAATTAACGGTAGTAATATATATATATATTTTATTCGAGGCTGATAATTATTGTAAATTTTACCTTGTGCGCTGAAATACTCGACTAAAGTAAATTGCAAAAAATCGTGATGGTCCAAAGCGTTGGGCTGAGAAAGGTTTTTGGACGACCGGATAACGGCCAAGACGCGGTCACAGTACTCATCGTAAGAATCTCCTAATGATCTTGTACAATACAACATCCAAATGATTCCGCCGGTTAGTAGCTGAAAAGTGTGCATTGTATTGCTCCTGAGAAAACCGCCACATAATACCTACCGGGTCGTTTATTATGCGGCCATTGTTACCGCATTCATAATATATATTTTTCAGGTTACCAAGTATTATTATCTGAATAACACGACTAATATCAACAGAGCTATTTGACAATTCAAAAACAGCCAATAAATAATAAATAAATAGACATTTAGACAGACATCATATTTTGAACGTAATCCGAAATAACGTTGAGATAATAACAAATTAAAATGTAAACAGATTATTTACGAAACGAATTTCCTTTTTGTAGTATTACTAACATGAATTATTAATGTGTTTTACACAACGTTTCGAAACAAGTCGATAAACAGTATTAGTAATTTAAGTGTGAGAGACATCAAAAGGAACAGTTCAAAGTAAGTATTCTAACCTTTAGTATTGTTACTGGTATTGTGTAAATAGTTAAAAAATAAGATTAATGCAAAACAATGATTTTAATCGAATAATAACTAGCCCCACGCTTGATTTAATAAATCTATCAAACGACATAAAAATACTGGGCCACAACAATATTACAATATTAGAAAGTTTTTAGTAAGCCACAAAATATTAAGCTCAACTTAGATATTGACAACATACTTTTTTTTTACCACGTCTTAATGCAAAATAAATGACATTACAATGGGAAACTGTTATGTTTTCACTAACGCGGTTAACTAGGAGTTAGATATGACCGGACTTGAGCCTTATGATAATAATAATACCTAATAGTTTATACTGTTATTGTCTACCTAAAAATTATATAAATTTAGTTTTCTACAAATATGTGTATAAACAAATACATATATACTTAAAAATGTTCTTGTTAATACAATCTATTCTTAGACTAAAACTTTAAAAATAATTTATTATATTATGTAAAATTATATATATTTACATAATATACCAATAATAGTAATGGATTTGAATTAATGTAAAAAATATAAAAGAGGATACAAATTATGTTTACTTTAGACTTGACCATAACATATTCTGTATAATAATTACAACAAAACGCTAACCTTTCTGTATATACATGAAACTAGCACTATGAAAAAAATCCGTTTGTGTCTGCTTTTTGTTTCGAACTATTCAAATAAGGATTTTTTTCCATTTTAATAGCATGTTATCTATTATACAAATTACATACACATCATTATTTTTAGCAATAACACAGTATATATACATATATAACGTATTCAATCATTATTCACCATGTTCTTGAGTGCACATTGTTATTTTGGTTTTTATTAGCCGACACTACGAAAAAAACTCATCTTGAGTTAGTTCTATACTAAACAAGCGTTTCATAAATGATGAAACTATGAAATATCCAAATAGCTGAGGACCCGTTTAGTTTTAACGTTTTTGTTTTAAATTAATAAAACTTGCACATAAAGTGTGGAATAATGAAAGAGTACCGTGAGTGGTATGCGAATGCTATAACAGTGGCACGTTATGAAATACATCACGTATAATGCAATGTGTATGTGTCTATTAGATAATTTAATTTACAATTCCCAGGTATATAAATTAAATGTGCCCGTTGACCGTTAACTTCATCCCATTGAAACTTTCTGTAGTTAAACGACCCAAAAATATTCCCGTAGTTTTGAATCTATTCCAGCGAGCAGTCGACAAACAGACAGAGTTTCCTTTTCCACTTGAAATCACCAATTCAGAAAATTAACAGAACGCCGAGGTTTCCTTTCATTCGCATAACGATTCAATATCGTCGCTATACATAACAATATGTTTGCACCCAGTATAGCATTGACCTAATTATCATGTGCACAAGTAATAGTATACAACTATATAACGTATAACCTTATATATATAAGTTATAACAGTTGTATTGTTATGTAAAGAAAAACAAATCGATTTGTATTTTAGTTTATGAAAATATCCGTTCACGTGTAAAATTTACAATACTTACAACATTATCATACAAGTAAGTGTATTATTTTGATAATTGTTTTCAATCGTCCCCTTTCTTATAACTTCGAAGGTCAAAATCAACGAATTAGTGTTTCTGATTGACACTAATTCATTGATTCTGTTTTTTTTTTTTACTTGAATACCTTAATTTGCTATTGAAACACTTTTAAGGTTAACCATTGTAAATCATTTTTTTTTTTATTAATACAGCTAACCGGTAACGGTACAAATAAAAATGAATTTATCATAATAATAGTCATTCTATGTTACTTAATCACATATGTATGTATGTAGGCGGGAGAGAGGTTCAGTGTAGTATTATTGTTATTGCGCGCACTACCTAAACCGCATTGCTCCCCTGTCTCTAAACTTTGAATGTTATAAGCTTAAAAGTTGTAAATTTTATATAATATTTTTATGCAACATACCCGTTTGAATATTAAAATACGCTTTGTTCGTTGTGTGTCAACATAAAATGCGCACATATGATAAGTGGTTCTTTTTAAAAACAAAATAATAAAATTGAGTTGGCAACGTTCATATTTTTCAACACTAAAAACGAATAGACGAATAGATCAGGCAATTAGACGCTTTAACGTCGACAAATTTGTATGTTTAAGTAAATCAAGTCAATTCAAATAACTCCAGTAGGGACCCAATAGTAAAATAATAAGAAAACAGTTCTTATGTGAAGCAATAAGAATACAATTTCCATTCATTTTTTTTAAAGGGTTAATAGTTTATACACACTAATGAATAAAGTAATTAATGTAATTACACAGTGTGCAAGCAATCGAGTCGCCATAGTTAATCGTATTCACTGGGTGCTATACATTTCATTCACTATTAACAATTTATTTATCATTATAATTTAAGCCAAAATTAATACTTATGGCAAATTACTAATTAGGTATTCAAATACTGACTTTATTTTTAACATTTTTTTTAGAATGACTAATTTAATTTAATGCTTTTTGTTTCGTCACTTTGTTTAACATTGCATTACATTTTTGTTTTCACCAACTCGGCTCTTGGCTAAGACTAGGAAAAATAATTATTTGCGACAGCCATTTATTTTGGATATATTCCTATTTTATAAAATACATACAACAATTTCTCGTTTTTTAATTACATTTTTTTTACCAACAATTTTGACATTTTACCGGTTTTCAGTGCGCATAGTGTTTTTAAAACGTCATGGCATTCAAAGTAGGCGACGTCGGTCTTTTTGTTGCCTGTAGGTATAGGAAAAAAATCTAAATTAAGGGATTATATAGTGCACCACTTGACCGAAGGCGAAATGAAAATAATGGTCTCGGTGAAGTCGACTCAAGGACACGCGCTTGCTATTTCGCGTTCGCAGGGCACTTGATAATGAGAAAAGACATGCTTGCCTCTGAGATTCCCCTTCGCTTTGCGTTTATTAGATTTTCCATTATGACCGTCGAATTCACTTAGACTTTAGACTTAGTTAGGCTTTTTTTTTCCCCAATATTGGATTGGTCTTACCTTTTCCGCAGTAATCATTACACAACGTTTTTCATTTCCTTCTTGAGCAATTACAATATCACAAAATTCAAGTTGGTTTATTAACCAACAATAATATACAAAATAATATGTAACTTTGTACACAATAAAAAAGTAGTGCAGATAGATTAAAAATGCCCTCACGGTTTGTTGAATTTAAGAAAAACTATATGCATATTATTTTGTAGACAACAAATAAAAAACTATCACAGTGTACAAAAATCGTTCCTTCCCATTTGTAGATAAAAAAATTAGAAATTTCGTTTTTTTTTTTCATGTAATTATTGCAATTTAAAAAACAAATGTATACATCACAGAACTATGACGCACTAGCTTTTTTTCAATCGAATAACTATTTGTTTTTATTTTTATTAAAATATTAGAAGCAAATCAATATAATTTATAGCATTACTCATAGTTAGTTTGTTTTCCAGTTAATTACATATCAAAGGAATGAGATGTTGGCACCTAAAAAAAAATGAAACATATAGTAACTGTTGGGTTCTAAACATGGGCACATAATATAACATCCTCTACTAAGGTCAGTACTAAAAATTGTAACAGTACAACACAGCCATTGAATTTCTTTGTTTTTATGTAAGCTACTGTCTAGTCAGCTTTATTTCATCGAGTGCCTCGTCATGGTCAAATGTATTAGTACTTTAGGTAAATACTGGATCATCAGTTCCATTGTTTTATTTTTTATATCTAGCGTCAACTAGCTATCGTAAGTTCAACAATATAAATCTCTTTAGTGTTTTTTTTTTATAGTCTATTCGAAGTTGTGTTATTATTTCAGATTTTCAGGCAATAACTGTTGTACTGTACGTACTGTTGTTGTTTTATAATTTGGTTTTTAATATAACATGAAAAATCTAGTTTCCTATAATCATAAATCTAATTACAAAACAAAAAAAACTATAAGATTTAGGTATTTTTATTAATTCCTTCAATGATATCATTAAGTATATGTTTAAACGATTTATATATTATACTACATTCACTATTACAGTGATGGAACGTAAAGAGTGTAACATGATGAGCTGACAGATCGACATAGAATTATGATAAACCTGGTATTCTTAGCCTATATGTATGTTAACAATTAATTAAAACCTGCAATATAGTGTTGTTGTAAATTCAAAATGATAATAAAATGATATTTTACGCCGTTTGACAGTATTGATAAATTATTTTTTTTTTTTTTTTTTTTTAGATAGAATAATCATTTTTTAAGGATTAAAGGAGAAGAAGTGGCTACTGAAACTCAAGAGGAACTGAGTAAGTTTTTTAATCCAATAATTATTATACACATAAATCATAATATAATATATGTGTCGTTAATTGTAAAAGTGAGTGAATTTTGAAATAATGAGCTTTTTGTAAATTAATTTGTAGAAAAAAAAATACAAGTATTCATTCAGTGTTTTAAATTTTGTATATATTTTTGCATTTATCGAAGTTGCTTTTCTTCTATAGTTAAAGATATGACTAAATGCGACTCCACTAACGAAAAATATGTATGTTTTAAAAATTTGGAGTTACACCACTTTTACAATTAACAATCCATATATATATACAATGTACCCATATTCACATGCGAATATCTACTATTAGAAAATCATTGTAATAACTCTAAAGGTAATACAATTCCACGGTACACGGATTACAATTATTTGAAATGAATATTTCCCATTACGGATGCATAATAAATTTACTTGCGTACAAAATTCAGTTATGTACTTTATGGATTGCTCGGTGAGAAAATTATTGTTCATATCCAACGGGCAATTGTATATAATAATAATTATTATTACAATATTAGGACAAAATGGCCGCGGGTAGGCTTGAACGCTTTTTGCTTTCATATTACATATTATAGGTCGGGTGTTATAAGAAAAGCGACGTCTTGACTTTTTCAGCAATATGGTCATCAGTTATTTTTTATTATTATTTTTTTTTTTTGAAAACTTGTTGGAACTTTCGGTACTTGCCACCCCTGGGCGATCGTAAATTTCGTTATTTATGTTTATTCTATCAACTTGCCGTTGTTTATTAGTACCAAGGAAAGTTTTTTTTTTTTTAAAGTTTCCGATACGTGCTGGCGCAGAAAGTGTCCTTCGATACAAAACGTTAGGTATATGTAAGAAATCCGTTACTGGTATACTACAAAAAAAAAAAGTAAATCATAATAAAAAATGCTTATGTGTAAAAAATCGTATACACAGATGCTTTGACGTCAATTGACGTAAACTCTGATAAGATTGGTAGGTAATGTTATTATTATAACACATGCACAGTATAGTCCTTCGACAGTCTTACAAAGTTATGTTGAATTTTGTGTATGTTTAACTCCAAACAGTTTATCTTCTAAAAAAAAAAAATGGTGAAAACGCAAATTGACAAAAATAAAATTACCAATTTAACAGTTTTTTTTTTTTTAATGCTATTCGAGTAATTGAGACTGAAGTATATCCGTGCACTTAAAATATAACATCCTACACCAACACTTGTAATGCTGTACCGACATCGCACATGTACTAATGAATAGTAAACTGCATAATAATTTACACAGTACGTGTACCGTTAATAATAGACAACGATGCCGTTAATAATATGTTTCGTTAGAATTTGCTAGATACACAATTTGCCTTAGAAAGCAGTCTTCTGTAATGGCATTTGATCTGATACCATCTCTGAATGTATGTATATTGTAGTATAATATTATGGTCTCCAAAATAACAACAGTACAGCAGTAAACGTCGTGCAAATGTGATATTCTCGACAACTTCTTTTGACGTTTATGTCAAACAGTGTAATTCTAAACCGTTGTGTTTTTTAATATAGTTTTGCCATCTCAAAAAAATATAACTAACAGGGTCTTCATTCACAGAAAACCCTTAATAGAATAACATGATATAAATGTTTTAAATATAAAAGTGAAGTGAATTGTGTTTATGCTTTTCTATTTTAACACACAAAATAAAAAAACCTGTAAACGTTGGACAATTTTATGATTCAACGATTTCAATTATTCAACTTTATGATTTCAACCGGTTAGATTATTTTTTTAAACTATACAGTTTTAATTTAAAATGTGTAGGTTGTTTAAATTTTCTAACACTCCTTTAATTGTGTCTATCACTTTAAAACATTGATATAAATAATATATATTATTTACCCTGATACTCATATGCATATATTATATGGTCAAAGACATCGCAGTCTGTTCTGACACCAGAGATAATTATTGGGATATTAGAAACATATTTAATTAGAACTAACAAAACCAATTACATGTAAAATATACCTTGGTATACAAAAAGGCATAAAAAAAATGAAATAAAGGGAATGGAGTACAGAGAAAGCTTCATATAGAACCAGTATGCCTGTTGGTAGTTGTATCACGTAAAAAATAAAAGTACCACCAATAAAAAAATACTTCCAAGTTTAGTCAATTTACCCGAAGCTTTCGATTTAATACCAATGCGTGACTATCTGGAGGTAATATTATTTTGCACTTTGCTGACAGAAACCTCGAAAATGTTGATTAACTGATAACGTTAAATGTGGAAAATCGAGTCGACTGTTCCTCGTTCGTTTTCTCAGAGTGATTCTGTAAGAAGAAAAAACTCATTTATTTTTATACTTTTTCGTAATGCCTTAAGTTTTCAATTATTAGATTGTGCGGATATATTGTAAGAAACTGCTGTAGGATACAAAAGTTTAAAAAGTATATTATTGGATTTGTTCTTGGCGTTGCTTATCTTTTAATATACTTACACAGTCGTGTGCACTAATATTTACTAAGTATAAGTATATAATTCCTAGATTATCGTTCGGCAAAAATGCGTTGTTGGTTGTGAGACACGATTTGTACTGCACTTTTCGGATAAAAAAAATGTCTAATTCAAACTGTACAACATTTTTTTGCTTTTTAACATAGTAAAGGAAATTTGATAACTTTTTATCTCGAACGTAACAATTAAATATATTAAATCTAAATTAAATCTATTCCGAGGTAAAAGCTCGGTATGATATGCAAACGTACAACACGTACGTACTCAAACTAATGTGTATTTATATATATACATATTGTTAAGCGAATACACAAGTAATCCTATAAAAGATACCCAAGCAGCGGTACTCTGACAGCTTAAAAGAGACGATTAACAAGGTATACAGCAAAATGTTGTATAAGTCTGACGTTAATTTGTAGAGTCCCGAATTAACCGCTTTGATCATGTTAATACTAATTTGATGAGTGCACACACTACGTCATGTCCTTTGTATCGTTAAAGGCATTTCCAAATAATAATAATGTATCTAGCGAATGAATCCAGTCGTTCTGAGCGTTTCGATTTAATTACAAATATAAATACAGAATAATCAAAACAACCGCATAAACATGTGTATACATCACATAACCTGATTACTTTTTTTTTAATTAGTAAAATTACCTAACCTCATTCCCTCTTTTAGACACCAGAGAAAAAGAGTCGAAATGTCATCATTGAGTTGCCTTAGCCCTTATGACACAGTATACTATTAGTAATAATGTTATTTTAAATATTCAATAATACCTAATATGGTTATGATGATAGTTAGATTTCGTTATTATTTTGTCTTTTAGTGAGCTTATAACCATCTTGATAAGTTTAAAAGTACATTAAATAAAAAACGAACACCCGGTTTTGTTTTCTGCCGTAAACCCGGATTATTTGTATGTTAGTACATATATTATAATATATTCTTATCGTAAGACACTACTAGTGTTTAAGTACCAGTTAATATTACCATTGGCGGGCACTTTATTTATTTTGTAATCAATGAGTTGCCGCACCATTGTACAACAAAGCCTAATCGAAATTTCTTTGAAAAACGTGATAAATATAATTATTGTATTTAACGATCTTAAATTATGTCACTTGCCTGTTTAATATAATAATAATATGGCAATATACAAAGGAAAATAATGTTTGATATTTCATTAACGCCGCGCCGCTTCGACACGAATGTGCAGCGATAGTTAATTTTCATTGTTCATATTTTAAGTACTCGTTAAGGGAAAACAATGTAATTATTATTGCATTTTCATTTTTAATTGTTCATTAAAAAGATAACGCATATTAGCATCGTAACCATTATCCATCGCACTAATTACTTTCTAAATAGACTTTATTCAGATGTAAGAAAACTATACTACCATCAAAATACACAAAGCACGTAGGTAGGTAAAATTGAATAGTCGTTAAACAGGCGAGTAACTAAAGTTATTTATTTTATATGAACTATTTTACTGTCATGTGTTTCTGCCATTTTCAAGTATACATTTTAACGACAGCCGCGTGTAGGTAATTTTCATATTTTCACTCGATAATAATCACAATCTTTTTCCGGTTTCCAGAAAACGTTTGACCTCTTTGTATTCGAATCCGTCGTGGGCCGCCTGGTATTCGGTCCATCCGTTCATCTTGAAATATCTCAACTCTGCTTCTTTACTCCGGTCAAGTGGTTGGTTCGTTATCACCGACCTTATGATCGGATAAAGGGTATCGTACGAATTTGTGTATGATCTTTGTGTGACTGTCCACAGACGGCTCATCAAAGCCAGTACACGGTCGCGTTCCCTACGAGATACTTCCAGTGTCTTTTCGTCGTCCAGCTTAAAAGTGCAATACCTAAAAAACGTAAAAACGCACATTTATTATTCTCAAATGGCAAAAAAAAAACAATAAGAAACTTTCAACGACGACAATTATTGCAAAAAAATAAGTTGTGGTACATATTTTTAGAGAAAACCGTCCTTATTTCTATTGTATATATAGTGAAGTATGATTAACAACAAAAAAATCCTATAATATAAGTACACAAGAGTCCTATTCACTAAAACTCCGTGGATAACATTTTTTTTTTATAGATTAATTAGTCTGAAAATATTTTCCTCGAATGAAAATTATAATGTATACAACATAATATAATCTAAACTAAGTTGTTCACAAAAGGTTTTTGTCATAAATTTCAATGTAAAATAATTTATCGAGGTATTTTATAGTGAAGTGTTTATTTGGCAAAGGTATAATAACTACATTAATTTATTATCTCAATAAAAAAATATTGCGTAAGTATTGTGCACGTATTAATTAAATTTATCCAGATAAAGAACTGATGAAAACAAAAAGGCCTTGATTTAACAAATCGATTAAAAGTTGGTACCTTATCATGTATTCCGTTAACATGAGAGATTTCTCGTATGTTTTATAAGGCCGTCTGGATGTTGACAATAGCTCAATCTATTGATCTCGTCTGTGGGGATACATATCTTAGGTTTTGGGTTGACTTCGTTTCTTGTCCGGTTTAAAGACATGGTTAATTCAAGGATTTTTCTATTTTTTAAGTTCAAATTTTTTTTCACGGCAAAAAAAAAAAATTTTATCATTGTTATGCGTCAACTTGGAAACCAGTCAATAAAATTCATTGCTAATTGTTATAATAATTTATGTTCTATCGTACAACTATAAAACGTACATACTATTTTCCAAAAATCAATAATTTATTTTTTCTTTGATAAACACATTAAATGATACCTACTATTAGGTTTACCGAGAATTATTTTGTTTGATGAAATAGATACAAAGGGCAAAAAATTACTATATAAAGGGCAAACAAGCCTTTGGAACCAAGGTCAAAGAAAGCAATTATTCATAGTTGGACCTATCAAAAGTGGGGTATTTATGTAGATTAATTAAAGCAATTCATCTGGAAATAAATTACATTTTAAAATAAAGTATTTTGTAAGGGTTAGAGTAAAATATATTAAATGTATAGTCTAATGCTTACCATATATTCATTTGGTCTGTGGCAATTTATCTGTAAAAATCTTTATTTATCGATAATAAAATAAAATGAAAAGAGTAATAGAAAAAATAGAGCACATCGAACCCGTAGTTCGTAAAAACTAAGTAATATAATATTGTCTATATTACATGGTATAAAATAAAATAAATCACCTTCCGTCAAATTGCAATAAAAAATATTTATTCGTCTCTACAAATAACTAGTACGCAATATTATATTTATAAAATGTACACTTATAGTTATTGTTAGTTTTCAAACAAATCGCATAATTTACTTTAAAGTACTAAAAGTTTTATCGTTTAGTTACTATACGATTATTATATTTTATACTTATACGTCATAATGTAATATAATAATATGTCTTTTTAATAGCTAGCATGTTGTATTTATTTTGTAGTTTCGTTAACTATGAACAGCTACTAATTAAAAGTCACCTTTTATAATTGGACCAATTTTAATATTTATCTTTTGACTCGGAGAAGTATATTGTAAATATAAAATGCAATTTCACCGACGATAAGCTGTTTCTAAATTAAGCATAATTAAGAATTCTGTGCTATAAGTCAACTATAACGTACCACCCGTTATTGCAGTTTTAGAATTGAATAAACCGAAAAAACCCAACTTTTCTCATCTGCTCGGATAAGGTGTTTTCGAATAAGCCCGGCAAACGCCTTGAGCTTTGTCCACAAATGCAAACGACGCAGGCTGGCACATGTAATATTATATGTACCTATAAAACACAGAAGTTTATATTATATTATAATAAAGCGACAATACCGCTGCAACAAACGTTATACGTTCATGTGGCCTTTGCCAATGTTTGCATAATAAAAGAGTGGTGGGGTACAGAGCGTAGACCATATTGTACTTAACTTGCACATAAATATATATGATAAATAAATAGGTACACATTTGCCGGGTTGTTGTTCTCTCGGCGGTGCGGTCTTACTGTTAATCCGCCCCCGCTGACACTTGTCGTCTGACTGGTGCCGGCGATGCCAAAGTTTACATGGTAAGAAAACATTTTTGTCTTGTATTCGCGAGACGTTATTCGGCGTTATTACTGAATTGCAAACTCGATTTGAACGGAATACACGATTGCTGTTTACCGAGCAATTGTTGACGAACGCGAACTTACTACTAGTACTTGTGTGTATTGACATTCTAATGAAAACGCGCGTACAATACTTACGAACTAGCGAGTCGTCCTTTTTTTGTATTATTACCTTGACGCCACGGCGTGGCTTAAGTATGTACCTATCTACCTACACACGTATATAGCTACACATGATATTTTGTCTTTTGCAATTTTGGAGGTTTTTTAGTTTTAGGTGTTGTTTTTTTTTACTATGGTTTTAATTTTTTTTCCCCCACCGCTGTCTGATCCGGTTATCCCGTTGAATTAACCTAACGCTTGAAAACCGAAACTTTGGAACGAAAAGTTATTGGTATCTCAAAGTTTCCGGATCGTAAATTTCCCGCTGATAACCGATAGGGGCGCGGCGAGACGACAGGGAAAATAAAGTTTTTTTGTTTAAAAATCGTGCAAATACCTTTTAGACGTTCTTCCCATATTGTGTAGCCACGCAGACATTTATCTCGTCCCAGTCGTCTTACCTATATGCGCCGCCGAGAAACCGTGTATAAGGAGACTTTCGCTTCCCGGATTGTTGTTCCGTTCTGATAGTAGTTCCTATTTAATAGAATGCCAATCCTTATTGTTACAAATGCAATTTGGTCCGGTGACGCCACCGGGATTTTTAGAGCCATTCATATATTTATTAACAACATAAAGAGATAAACTAACATATACTGATAGGAATGGGAGTCGAAGTCGTGGTCATTTTTATGGTATTTATGTGTGTATAAAAGAATCGTAGTGTGTATTGCTGTCAACTAACCTTATAACTGTTATAAATTGTGATAACAGTTATAACCAGGTGACAGGTTCTGATTTCCAGAAAATATGGCGGAAAATGGTAACTTCAATTATCTCTATTGGCGGCATGTACACTTAGCAATCTAGTTTATTCTATAAATCTGTGCATATACTAGCTGTGTGCATAAAGTGAAGTAAACAGAACGACTAAAACCAGTGTGGCCACACAAAAGTCCTCATCGTTAAGTGATTGGAATAAGATAAAATAAGTTTTTTACCCTTTTTCTTAAAATATTATTATTGTTTTTTTTTTTTAAGCTAATGTTTTCATTATATTTAATGGTATTTGTTGTTTCTGGACAGACTGACTTTAGTCACATTAAAACTACTATGGCCACCCCCCCCCCCGGAGCTGTTATATTATGTACAGCGTTAACGACACACTATTAAATAGAGTTGTTAATAAAGAAAATTACCAAAATTCCAGGTACTTTCAATGAAAAAACGTTCACGTTGAAAAAACGAACAAAGTATAATATATTATGTTTTATGATTTCGATTATCGTTACAGCGTGTACCTATTTGTCGATTCATCAATCGCTCCGGACAACAGCTATAATATAAATGATTAAACGACAAAACATCATAAATGTGGTATATATTATAGTATGTGTATAAAAAAAAGTAGCAGGTCGGGTTGTTGTATTCAAGTCTTCCCGAGAGACCATAAATAAATGGAGCTTCATGAGTAGGTATATACAAAATATATAGTCGACAACAACATGGGGCGGGGCATTGTTACTTTTTGCAACCATATTTTCTTCGCCGCCGTCTCTGCTGCCGTCTAAACATTGTAGGTACCGTATTTCTATTGGCCTGCTTAATTCACACCGTTCAAATGGTATACACCGACACAATGAACGTCTATCGCGTGAGACACATTACCCGAAGGAGCCGTAATGGAAAAAACGCAAGAAACAACACACCGCATTTTGGAATACCGTATTTGCCGCCCTTGGGAACTCATCTCATCCTTGCCGACTATCTCTAAATGGCCTCCGTTTCGGTGGAGTACCGCAAGGACCTAACATTAACGTCTATGTAGACGTTAGGATCGGCAAAGAAAGAGTTTGAAAATCTTACTGTTACACAATCAAATCACACGGATATCGATACTATGATTTTGTCTTATTCTCTACTAGCATAATAATTAATGTCATTAACTTAAATTAAAAAAAGTTAGTAAATATAATATTAACATTCAAGGACTTAGGGCATTTGTACAATCTGACGCTATGCTGTTGAAAAATTCATTGAAACGTTTTTTTTTTTGTTAAGCTACATTCTTGGTTTTTTTTGTTTTTAATTAAAAAAAGGTTTATAGCACTAGCGAAATCAATTGCTGCACCTATTCCTATTCAACGATAAGCGTTTCAACCTAATACTTCAAACCAATAAATGGTGTCCGCAATGTAAATGTATACAACACCTCACCGCTACTTAATTGCTATACAGAGTCCTATTAACGTGACTCGAACGATTTCTAGAAACGCATCATGGCAGCCGGCCGACTGTAAAGTAATCAGCAGAAACCAACGTGATGTTCAAAACTAATTTAATACTACACTAATATGGTTTGTTGTGAGATATCGACCGAGTCGTCGGGATTTAAATGGATTATCCTAATTATGAAACATGAATGAAATTGCGTTATATCTTGAAAAACATAAGATAACTTCATGGTTTCGCATTAAAGTCAAAAATTGATTCAAATTATACTTAATACGTTTGATAATATGCGAGGCAATGGTGTGTTGTTCACAAGTAATTGGAAATTAATAAAAAAAATTCGATTGATTTTCAATGATAGTGTTATAAAGCTTCGTACAAGTTAACACAAACAAACCTAAACCTTAAGCTAAACACTTAAGAATAAAGAATGAACAAATTAGTGTTAAATTTGTATTTTATCGATGTTCGCAATGGCACTTTTGTCCAACATAAATTATTTACTTTAAACCCAAAAGTCTTTGTACTGTGAAATTATAATAAAAACCAAAATAATCCAAGTTTACTTTTGATTCTAATAATAGCCTATCGAGTAAGTAACTCTAATAATCTCAACGAAAATAGCCATGCTATAATAACAGATTTGTAACGATATCTAGTTGAATATAATAGCTTATTCGATAACCATCGATATTTACACTTACCAAAACCATAAGTCTATGGTAGGACGATATAGTTAATATGTTCCTTTTCCAAGCCATACCATATTTTTCCAATTTATGTAATACCTATTTGAAAAATAATATATATAAGTATAATTACACCAAAACTGATTTTAAGTAACGTTTATTTGTGTTGCCATCCTTCTACGGAAATAATATATGTACATTGTTTTATTTAATCAGACAATCAATCAATAAGTAAAATAATTCAATCAATACAATTTTACTTATCATAACAAAGTATTTGTTTCGGTAAAATGTTCAAGTAGATTGTTTTATTGATAATATTTAGTGTTTTGTAACCCGGCGTATCGTGTAGGCAATTTTACTACGGTTGTGTCTACAAACACAATTGTGTTACATAAACACATGGTATTATATTTAATATATTATTAAATTCAAGTATTAATATTTAATTTTATATTGTCAACTGTTAGATTTACTTGGTTTCTTCCTAATATATTAAACGTTTACTACGCGATATATTGTATACTCTTAGTTTTATAATCTTCTAAAACCTCAATAAGTTCTCATACAGTTTTGAACAACAAAATCCCTATACCTAATGTGTTAAGGCCTTTTATATTATAATAATAAGTAAAATATATCTTAACTATAGCTCAGCCCGACCAAACTATTCTCCGCATCGGCAGAGACCAGGGGAGGGGGTAGGGTTGAGATTCTAAAAACCTTAAAACTAGTGCTACGTTTATTTTTTATTTCAACAAATCGCTCACTCAAAAATTAATGTAGGTATATTGATATGTATTGGTGTATAGAATGCGTACATCCGGACCGTACGTTAAAAAACATACTCTCTCGCGTTTGTATTACTATAAAATAAACTATATTACTGGGCGGTAACATGCTGAGTATAGTACATACTATATTACTGGTCGCCCATAGGAAACCTTCATTCCG